GTTTGAGGGCTCCAGTCTGCATGATTTCTATATAAATTTTGCAGTATACCTATTAAACTTAATAGAGATGGCACTTTGGAATTTTAATTGCACTGTCTATTGAATCCATTATCACAGAAGAGAAAATCATCTCTGATATATTTTAAACCCTAAGCCTGAAGCAGGAGCTTCTTGTTCTGTTCCTTCAATCATTCTTTTGTCTCTATCACACCACATTCTGTCATGTAACTGACATGACTCATCATTAAGTTTGATAGACATTAAAATGCTATTTTAAGTGAAATCAATTGAAATATTACATTTTTCATGAGTCTATACCTAAAATAGAGGATTCAGACCAATCAGGAAGGCTATTACTAAAAAGGTAAAAAATAACAGATGCTGGTGAAGTTGCAGAGAAAAGGGAATGCTCATACACTGCTTGTGGGAATGTAAAGTAGTTCAGCAATTGTGGAAAGCAGTGTAACAATTTCTCAAAGAACTGAAAACAGAAGTACCATTTGACCCAGCAATCACATTATTGCACATATACTCAAAAGAATATAAATTGTTCTACTATAAAGACATGTACACACATATGTTCATAGCAGCACTGTTCACAATAGAAAAGACATGAAATCAAACTAAATAGCTACCAAAGGTACCCTGGATTAAGAACATGTGGTACATAAACACCATGAAAACACTAAGCAGCAATTAAAAAATGAAATGATGTCCTTTGCAGCTACATGAATGCAGCTAGTGGCCATTATCATAAGCAAACTCACATAGGATCATTGAACTTGGTCAGACACCACTGTCCTGTGGGCACAGCCTTCTGCCTCACCAGCTTCCTGTCACTTTAGTCTTTGGTTGTTTTTTGAGAAGGAGTCTCACTCTGTTGCCCAGGCCAAGATGTGTGGTGTGATCTTGGCTCACTGCAACCTCTACCTCCCAGGTTCAAGTGATTCTCCTGCCTCAGTCTCCTGAGTAGCAGGAGGTACACCAGCACAGTCTGCTAATTTTTGTATTTTTAGTAGAGACAGGGTATCTTGTTGGCCAGGCTGGTCTCAAACTCCTGATCTCAGGCGATCTACCTGCCTTAGCTTCCCAAAATGCTGGAATTACAGGCCTGAGTCACTGCGCCTGGCCTTGGACTTTTCTTGATCATAGAAGCACACAGGTATCAGGGAGGAGTGAAATGAGTGTCAGAAGCTGCCTGTGCTCACTCCTCTGATTTTTCCATCTGATTTTAAGTCACCTAATCCATCAACAATCAATTTTGCTTCACCAGGCACAGTGGCTTCTCTCATAGTCAACTGATTCAATGACAGACAAGTAAGGAATGAATGGATTATTTCTTGTGCTTCTCAACACAAGCTGACCAAGAGGCTGTCCTTTAGTGTTCACGTCTAGGTTCATCTCCCCTCTGCTGTACTAGCATCCAAGTGTATGTGATGCTTCAGCTGCATTACTTAAAACTTCATTCTGAAGTCTGTTGAAGTTAAAATAAACTTTTACCAGTGGAAATGTCAGTAAATTCCTGAAATTCATCTAGGTTACACATATTCTCTACTTCTTCTCTAAAATATATAGAAGAAAACATATTTTCCCTTGATTATCAGGTTCTATGACCCCCATTAGGACCCTTTGTTCAAAGTTTATCCTCTATCATAATGAGAACTAATTGTCCACATGTTCATTATTTTTCCAACTTAATGCAACAATTATCATGCCAATTCTTTGAATAAAGATCTATCAACCCGAAAACCACAGACAAGAGTGAATAGAAACATTTTAATCTTCTCTGCACCCGTAATAAACAGTCATTTCTTAGATTCTCCGATTCTGTTGATGGGCGTAGCAACGTCATACATATCAGTGTTTCAGGGCCTCCGGTACATCTGGTGAGACAGAGATCTGACATTACAAGGGTTTGTGTTTTGGCTTTCCCTGACTAATAATGGGTTTTTTCCTTTCTATAAGGGCAGCTGGCCCTGTACATATGACAACATCATGAACATATGTTGCTTCACATTTTTTGTTTTTTGGCTATAGTTAAGTTGCTTCTTCTAATGCTAAATTACGTAAGGATTTCTTGACTCTGATGAAAACACTCAGAAATCTTCCAAGTGATGATTCTGGCAGAAACATGACTGACAAATAAAGCAAATGTATATACAGGAAAACAACCACTGTCCTCTGGATGTTGCGTTAGGTCCACTGTACTCACTCCACACATGTTGTTAGTCTGACCACTGATATGTGATACAATGTTAGTGGTTCAGGAGGGGTTATGCTACTTGGCAAGCTGAATGCTCAGAAGATCCGTGGGTATGCAAGCCTCGTCAACTGAAATTCACATTGTTGAGCTCACGCATGGATTTTATGGTTCATGTGACTTCCTTAAAAAGCTGGGAAAGATGATTGAAGTTCTAGTATTGGATCCTCTTAATTACTAAGAGCAGATCCTCAGTAATGAAATAGAGATGAATATTCACTTGGGAAGCACTTGTTTTTTATCTTGACCTATTTTCAAAGGTCCAGTCATAGCTCTTCCAAACCAACTTTGTCTGCAGTCCTTCAGTTTTGTTTCTACTGAGACCTGATAATCTGTCCAAACCAATAGCCAATGTCATGGAATTGCTAATCTCTCTTTGCAAAGTGTATGGTGAATTTACCCTTGGGGTTTACCCACTATTGTGACTTCTAGTCTCCCAGGGCATCCTTGACAATGGCAGTGGTGTGACATCAATACAGCACCCAGTTATGAGAACTCCATCCAGAATAGCATCATTGGGGACATACGCATGATTGGACTTCCATAGGATGCAATGATTAATTTTTTTAATTAGGCAGTTATCCCCATTCATGCCCTTTACCCCTTTATTGAGTTAGGAAAATACTTTAAGGTGTACATACCATACCCATTAGTTGAGTGTTTTATAACTATAGGTTATAAAGGAAATTTCTGTAGCCAGAGCAGATACTATACCTGGTGTTGGGCACACTGTTTTCATGGGGGGCAAACTGAAATCACCTTCACAGATATAATTTTTATATAACTACTTTGTAAATATGCATGTGTTGCTTATATAATATACTTAAATCGCCTTATTTAGACATATATATGTGTACATATAAGTATCTGCAGTCAATTTTTCAAAAATATAAATGTACCAGTATGTATGTTATACACACTCAAATATGTACATTGTCCATAAATAATGAAAATTTTGTGGTTTTTATTTGTATTAAGTTTTAATGTTTTAAATATTGTCTTAGTATCTCTATATATGGATTAATAAATATTCATACTTATGCCATCAATTTTAATAAAATGCATCTATCTAAATAAGTAGATGTATAAATACTGTATTGTCCTGTTTTCACACAATAATTATTGACAACCACTTAAACTCGGTATTTTATTACACTATTTATTTTCACATTCATGAATGTTCATTTTCATAATCAATTGGCTGACCAAGGCAGGGCTCAGCTGGTTGGTTCAGCTGTAGTGAACTGAGCTTGTCTCCAGCCTAGGGATTTCATTTATGTGAGGACAAGGCTAAAGGACAGTGACTACCCAGGGCAGAATATTCTCATTATAGGTCGCAGGAGTAAACAACATCCCACACCAAGCTGACTTGATGCAATTAAGTCCAACAATCTCTAACATAGATATACAACTTTAATTGACTATTTCACTTCATAATTACTAAAGTTTCCAAAAATGTTTACTCCATTTAAACATCAAGTTATTTGATAATTCCATAGGTAGATAAATATAATTTTCAACCTTTATAATCTTCAAAATGTTTTCAAATGCAATGTTGCATTAACTTGAAAGTAAAGCTGGGTATGCTTTCAACATGTGACCTTCCATTGAAATTTTCCTGAATGTCCTCATTGAGAAAAAAAATAAATCTCTTTAGCTAAAATATCACATAAAATATATATTGTTAAACTTCATATAGATCATCTGTTGCCATGTTAAAATTAAGATTATCTTTCAGGAAAGTTGAGGCGGGCCTGCTATGTAGCATGCAAAACATCCTCTCAGGGATGCTGAGGTGCTGCTGAACTTTGGATAATTTTGAGTAGCAAGGGACTTTCATATTAAGGGAAAAAATGCTATATCCATGTTTAGAATTTTCTCTTACTGTTCACCTTTTTGTTGAGGAAGGCTTATTTGGTTGTCAAATGATTGTTATATCTATCTATCTTTCTATCTATCTATCTGGTGTTTTTTTTAAAGACAGAGTCTTCCTATGTTGTTCAGTCCAATCTCAAGTTCCTAGGATGAAGTGATTCTCCTGCCTTAGTCTCTCAAAGTGCCGGGGATTACAGGCATGAGCTGCCACAAATAGCTTTATGATATATTTCATACAATTTCCTGATTTTTCTCCTTCATCTGTGACTTAATGACCAGACTTGCTGGTAAGACTTGAAAGCACATTTGAATGTATTCCGAGACAATCTGTAACTGGAAAATTTTGAGAACAATTAAGGAACAAGTAACCTTACTGGCCTGTCAGCTGTCAATTCCCCGTTGTTACTATCACATCTGGAAGCACATTTTCTAAAACCCATTTTCTCTCTATAATGGCGAGAGGCCATCCCCTGAGATTGGGAAATCAGAGTGGTGAATTCATGTATGCTGACATCTGAAATAAAATATGTGGAGTTAGGTATGAACTGGAGAATCACCTGGAAAGGTGCTGCAGGCAGCTGAGAACATCAGCACCCCCAGCCCTGGGCTTCCCAGACTGAGGATCATCACATGGGTACACAGCCTGTACCACAAGGGGCAGGTGCACTCTGGCTTCTGGAGGATCACCTGAGATTCCCCTGTCTCTAGTATCTGCTTCATGAATAACATACCATAGGCTTTGAAAAGACCGTGGTTTAGATGCTAATTTATTCAACTTGAAGGATTTCTTTTTGAAATATTGAGAGTTGCTTCTCTTTTGCTGTATGTATGAATTCCAATTATCCCACAGCACAGACTCCTCAGGTGGACTTATCTCTGTTCTTTATCCAACCAGGACAGGCATTGTTACATCTTTTCTGCTGGGGTTGAGGGCGAAAGAGGCTTCGGGTTCAAAGAAGCCTCCCTGTTCCCCTCTATGAAAATCTCCCAATGACTTTCAAAACCTGACTGAGTTTGAGAAATGCTCTCAGCAGATAGAGCACCAGGAGGAGCATCCAGGGTGGCCCCGCCTCATACATCTGCTTCCTTGGGGGTTTATGCTATGACTTGAAACACTGTGGGAGGAGTACTATAACCATGTTGACAGTAATAAGTGGCAAAATCATCAGACTGCAGGCTGCTGATGGTGAGAGTGTAATATGTCCCAGATCCACTGCCACTGAACCGAGAGGGAATCCCAGTTTGCAAACTAGATGCATCATAGATCAGGAGCCTAGGAGTTTTTCCTGGTTTCTGCTGATACCAGGCTAAATTACTTCTAATGTTCTGACTCGCCCGGCAAGTAATGGTGACTCTGTCTCCTACAGATGCAAACAGGGAGGATGGAGACTGGGTCATCTGGATGTCACATCTGCTACCTGAGATTGGAAACATAAAAACAAATATTCATACTATTAATCATGTTATAGAGGACTTCCCTGTAGTTCCAGCAGTACTGAGCACACTGGGCTGAGTAAATTCCTAGTGTTCTCCTTCCTTACCTGGGAACCAGAGCAGCAGGAGCCCCAGGAGTTGAGCGGGGACCCTCATGTTCATGCTGCGTCCTGACTGGGACTGACTCCTGCACAGGATGTGACCAGCCTATTAATAAGTCTTCAGGGCAGGGGTCTGTGTTCTGGGACATGCAAATCAGCAGGGGATGGGGCAGGCTGGGCACAGCTGCAGGGCTGGCTTATCTCAGTAACTCAGCACAGGGACAGTGTCCCCTGGGTCCCAGGTCAGATCAGGGCAGCACAGATTTACCTTGAGAAAATACACTTTTCTTTGGTGGCCATATAGTTACAGAACATATTTTTGGAGTGAATTTTCAAAATCTTAAATTAACCTAAGGCTAGATTAAATAATGTATTTTATACTTGTATTAGGTATAGGATAGCATCATTTTTGGCAGAAAATTCATAATAAAGCTTTGGAATGTGGGGCTGTCAGAATTTTCAGTTATTCTCAAAGGAATCTGATGAGTGTAAAAGTATTTAATGCTATGCTGACAAGGTCTCTGTCAGTGTGAAATTGTTTCTTTTTTGAAATGAAAATAAAAAGACTTCATCAGAAGCATGTTTAATAAATTCAATATAATTTACTAATAAACTGAAGCTGTTGTTCTTAGCATTATAAGGAAAAGCAATTTGCGGAAGATGCACAAAGATGATACCTGTGCCATGCACAGATCTGCCATTATCCAGAGCTATGGGTCTCTCTAATGCCCAGGGACTCAATGGGCTGCATCTTTTTCTTGGTGTGATGATCTCCATATTCTATCTCCTTTCCTGCCTTTGGGTATGATTTCTTATAGTTCACCAGCATGGAGAGCTGACTAGTGATGCCTGGTCTAATTATTTCATCTAAAATCTCTATTTCTCTGTTTCCTAAGTATAGGAGCCTGAATTAGGATCAACTTGAAAACCTTAATCAATCAAGGCTCATATAATCAATTGTTTCAAAGCAAGACGAGAAAGGCTACATCCCCTGGATAATGCTGTGAGCTGTACTCCCCACCAGCCTGTTTCTGGGGTCTCAGGTGCATCTGCTCTACAGCGTGGCTTCCTGGAGAACAGGTGAGGGAGATGCCCTAGGGAAAGGTCGGGTCAGTGAAGTTTCTCCTTAGCGAGGGCAGCTGCTGCTCAGTGCATGTCCTTGCCGTGCACCACAAGTAACCCTCTCTTATTTTACTCTTTAGCAGCGAGGACATCATCCTGACCCAGATGACAGCCTCCCTGTCTCACATCCATTTAGAAAGAGTCTTCATCTCCTGCCATGCCACTGCCCAAATAGATGAAAAAATATTTGAATCCAGATAAACCTCAAGCACAGATTTGAACCTCAATACCTCACACAGCTGCCTTTCCCATTGCCTGTCAACCTGGTTCAGAAGCAGGGGCAGTGCAGCCAACTATATCAGTATCAGTGGACTGAAGCTCAGGGACTCCAGGGAGTATTTCTTGTGCACAACTAGGAGTGGCCAGACCAAGGTAGAGCAGCCTGTACACAAACCTCCTCCTGCTTTTCCAGGAGACTGGATTTCAAGGAAATGACTAACAAACAGCCTGCCAGGATTCAGATACCCAGATTCAGAGACATTCATCTTTGGATTCAAATGCACTTTTTTCTTTCTGTGTAATTTTATAGTCATTGTTCTACCTTGGTGTTTCCATCCATTGTACTTCAGCTGACTCTCTCTGGCCATATTTGCCCCTCACTGCTCTCACTGAACCTGGGGAAGGCAGATCTGCCTGCAGATGTGACAGACCTCATCACCTGGAATTAGCATGCCCTAGGACAGCTATCAATCAGTAATGACATGGGAGGTGTAGACGTACTCCAGCTCCCTCACTTCTCAGATGGAATAGCAGAGGCATTTTTCCTATGTTTCTATGTGAGCTTGAGCTCTCATTATCCTCAGAGGTGGCTCCTTACTGATGCACCTTCACTGTCCCTCCTCTCTTCCCTTGCTCACTTGCTTGTTTCCTGCACTTTGTAAATATACTGCTTGCATGAGAATCTTTCTCCTCCTCACTGGGGGACCCAACCTAAGGCACTAGAAAAATCCTCATTCTTGGAGGGAATCTTTGGTTTGAATTGTTGCCACCTCTCATTTTTTAATGCATAGGGAAAGTCAGAAAATTTAAGAAATATTTAAATTCCCTTTGCCAGTCTTCCTTAGATTTGATTTTAGCAGAGATTCCTTATTTTTGAGGTCACAAAAATCAAAGAAGCCTTCCACAGATGACTACACACCATGGAGTCCACTTAGAGCAGAGAATCAGAATCCCCCAGAATCTGACATTCACACATCAGAGAGTCCTAGAGTCTCAGGTTTTTTCTAGGTCTACTGCAACATAAATCTTCTTTTTGAAATTTTAATCTACCTTAGGACAAGTCCATTTGTGGGGATGATGAGAGTTGTTTGTGGAATGAATAATATACCCCTCTGAAGACTTTATTATCTGAATATCTGGAATCTATGATGATTACTTATGAACATGTCAAACATAACTCAGCAGACATGGTTAAATTAAGAATTTTCAGGTCAGGAGAGTATCCTGAATTATTATAATGAGAACAGTATAATCACAAGGGTCCTTATAAATGGAAGGTTGGAGGTTCACAGCCAGAGAGGAGCTGGAACAATGGAGAGGGATGCTGGAGTGATGGAGGAAGGGGCCATGTAGTCAGGAATATGGGAACATTAGAAAGATGAGAAGCTGGATATTTGATTCTCTCTCTTGAAGCCTCCAGAATGAATACAGCCCTATTACTCCTTGATTTTACTTTATTGAGACTTCTGACATCCAGAAATGTAAGATAATACACTTGTGTTATATGAACTTATTTATTTTTGTCAGCAAGGTTGTGGTAATTTGTTACAGTGGCAACAGGAAACCATTGCAAGGGGAAGGGGTGTCTTTTATTTCTCTGAGTTTATCATTGTCCTCTGTTCAACCAAATAGTTCTATGTTGTTGTCTTTTGCTGTCAATTTTAACAAGAGACAGAAAACATTTTTCTACGTGGAGAGCTAGCATTAAAATTCTTCTTACATACCTGTACCAAAAAAAAAAAAAAAAAAAAAGAATTCTTCTTACATAGAAAGACTCTTGAGTCAATTTCTGGGTTAAGTCTTGTGCAATCTTGGTATCTGAGAGCCTGGAGGTCATCTCTCACAGCACATGACAAGAGGAGGGGGCGTGGGTTTGGTGTTTTAACATTCAGAGGGAAATTAGCTGTACAAAACACAATCTGAGAAGCAAGGACTGAGTCGGAGAGATGAGGTGGTAAAGGAGACAAAATGTGGTCAGGGCCATGCAAGATGTGATCCTGCTTCCATATCTGAAAGAAAGGTACTTGGTATTTGTAAAGGCTTTGAGCAAGTTGACCTTTGTAAACAAAATTGTAGAAGGGTCTGAGTTTAAACTGAGTGTCAGTGTGATGAGGACCAGAGGCCGCAGTGAGCTTGTGTTAAGAAATCCCCCCTGCACTTCTGGCTTTGTCTCTTCTCTGGTTTTATAGGCTACAGGTTCTGCTATGCAATGAATGTGCAGCTTTGTGGAAAAAACATTGCTAACGTCAGAAAGACTAGATTCCAAGTTGAGCTTCAACAACTGCTGACCAAGTGGCTTTTATGCAAATGACCCATGTATTCTCATGAACGTTTTTCTCACGTGTGAAATGGGGCACTGAGGATATGAAGGGGTGTCCTGAGGGTTGTACCAGCTGGTGCACCATGAAGTGCACATACATGTATAGATAGACACACACAGACATACATGAGAAGAGTATCTAGTACCCCTTTTATGCATCCTTGAATAACTCAGAGTGTTATGTGAGATATTACTAGTCATATATCATTTTTAAGTAAAATTATCAATATTTGTCTTATAACTAACAGATCCCTCTCTGTACATTGTAGGTTTCATGTAAGTTTCTTCAGTCACAAAATGTTCCACCAATTTATTTATGTCTAGTATTTTTACCAGGGCAGTAAACCTTCAATCAGATTGCCTGGTTCCCATACCGAGAGTCTAGCCTGAGCCCAGGTCATCTGGGTGAAAACCAGGAATCCTAACTGCTACACCCATCTAGTAGGCTCTTGGCCTCTCTAACCCCAAAGAATGGGGAAAGGGTCCCAGGAGGCACATTGAGTTTACCATTTGAATAAATACTGTGGACCCAAAGAGTTTTGTGGAAGAGCAATTTATTAGACACAGAGAGAAAGAGCGGCTCCCATGCTGTCATGGGAGGGGATCCAGAGAGGGAATCCCTTCAGGTAGGAGCAGCTAAAGTTTTAACCCTTGAGTTATTCCCTCCCCATTTATGTTCTCATCCAGTGAGAGGAGTTCTCTCAAACTTTCTCTGGATTAATTGATCTTTGACTCTGATACAATTGGCTACTTGTTTTACAACCCTGAGTCACAGGGCCCCCTCCTTCATGAGCTCTGGAAGAAATTCCGGGGACAAAAGCCCTGCCTGGCTTTCTATGTGAGAAGACGAACAAAGAACTTTACCTGGCCCGCACGGAGGAGGTGCTCAAAGAGCCCTTGCAGGAAGCCGGAAAATTCCTGCACTTGAAACGATGCCCCTCTCAGACCAGGAAGAGAAATTTCTTTAACACAGTCCCACAGGATCAGAAAGTTAAGCAAGGAGATTTCAAACCAACATAGCACCTTTAGCCTGGATTTTCTCTGAGCCCCACTTGTTTACTGTCCTTGGGCTACTGCAACAAGTTCTCAAAAATGTGGTAGCTTAAAACAACAGGAATTGAATCTCCCATAGCTCTGGAGACCAGAAGTGCAGAATCAGTTTCACCGGGGCTAAGATTTAGTGTCATCAGGTCTGGCTCCTTCAAAAGCTCTAGGGAAGAGTCTGATTTAGCTCTTCCACCTTCTGGTGGCTTCAGCTCTCCTTGACTGTGGACACATCACTGCAGCCTCTTGTCTCTGTGTTCACACTGCCTTCCCCTCTTCAGTCTCGGTTAATTGTCTCTCCACCTCTTGTTTTCTCAGGACACTTGTCATTGCATTTGGGGTCCACTTGATTAGCCTAAGATTATCTCCCTGTTTCAAGCTCCTTAATT